GGTTAATTTTGGGTGAATTTGGTTGAATTTGGGGCTGATTTTTGGGTTAATTTGGGTTGAATTTGGGGCTTCCTGGGGTTGTTTTTTGGGTGAATTTGGGGCTGATTTTTGGGTGAATTTAGGGGGGATTTTTGGGTTAATTTTGGGTGAATTTGGGTTGAATTTGGGGCTGATATTTGGGTTAAATTGGGTGGGATTTGGGGCTCATTTTTGGGTTAATTTTGGGTGAATTTTGAGTGAATTTGGGGCTGGTTTTTGGGTGAATTTGGAGCTCGTTTTTGGGTGAATTTGGGTGGGATTTGAGGCTGATTTTGGGGTGATTTTGAAGCCTCTTTTTTGGCTAATTTGGGGATGATATTTGGGTTCAATTTGAGTTCATTTTTGGGTGAATTTGGGTTGAATTTGGGGTCATTTTTGGGTTACTTTGGGCCGAATTTGTAGTCAATTTTGGGGCTTTTGGGTTCATTTGGGTTTTGGGGTCCCCAGAGCTCATTTTTGGGGTGGTTTGGGTGGGTTTTGAGTTAATTTTGGGTGGATTTGTGTCATTTTTGGATCAATTCTGGATTATTCTGGATTGAACTTGGGGTTATTTTTGGGCTAATTTGGGCTGGATTTGGGGTGTTTTGGGTTCATATGGATTTTGAGGTCCCCAGAGCTGATTTTTGAGTTAATTTTGAGTGAATGTGGGTCATTTTTAGGGCGTCGTTCCCTCCCCCCCACCCCAGGCCGCGGTTAGTCCTCCGGGCCACCAGGAGGCGCAGAGCGAGCAGGTGTCACACCTGCGCCGGGAGGTGTCGCGCCTGCGCGCCGAGGTGCGGCGCATGGAGCAGGCGCTAGGGGGCGCTCAGGAGGCGGCGCTGCGGCTCGGTGAGTCTGCCCGGAAACCGCGGCCGAGCACCAACGTTCCGCCCCCAAAAGGGGCCTTTTTGGGGTCCCCTTGAGGAATCCGGGGGGTCTTTTGAGAGGATTTGGGGTCCTGGGGCTCTTTTGAGGGGTCCGAAGGGGGTTTGGGGGTCCTTTGTGGAAGGTTGGGGGGGTCCTTGGGTGGTTTTGGGGTCCCTTGGGGTGATTTTGGGGGGTCTTGGGCCCATTTTGGGGTCCCTTGGGGTAATTTTGGGGTCCCTGTGTGGGTTCTGGGGTCTCTTGGGGTGATTTTGGGGATGCTTTTGGGGTCCCTTGGAGTAATTTTAAGGCCCTTGGGACGGTCCTGGGTGGATTTTAGGGTCTCTTGGGGTAATTTTGGGGTCCCTGGGTGGGTTCTGGAGTCTCTTGGGGTGATTTTGGGGGTGGTTTTGAGGTCCTTGGGGGTAATTTTGGGGTCTCTGACCCCCCTCACCCCCCTCTTCTCCCCAGAGGAGTCACTGAGGGTGCGGCGGAGCCGGATGTGGGCAGAGCGTTGCCGGGGGGTGGAGCTTCGCCTGCTGGGGGCGGAGCAGGAGCTGGAGGGGCTGTGGGGCCTCCAGCGGGTGCTGAACGTGCCCCAGGACAGGTGAGGGGGCGGGGCCTGGGAGGGGGGCAGGGCTTCTGTGGGCAGTGGGTGGGGCTAAATGTGATGGGTAGGGCTTCCTTGGCATGGGAAAGGGGTGGAGCTTTCTCTGGGGGTGTGACCTAAGAAGTGGGTGGGGCTTCAGTGGGGAGTGGAGCTATTTGGGGTGGGTGGGGCTTGCATGTTGTAAAGGGAAAGGGGTGGGGTGGGTGAGGCTTGGGAAGAGGTGGGCGGGGCTTGGAAAGGGGGTAGAGCTTTGTGGGGTGGGTGGGGTTTAGAAAGGGGGGTGGAACTCCCATGGGAAGGGGGTGGGGCTTCCTGGGGGTGGGTGAGGTGTTGTGGGGTGGGTGGGGCTTGGGAAGGGGTGGGGCTTGCTGCAGCAGGCCTGGCTTCCAAGGAGGCGGGGCTTGGGGAGGGGGTGGAGCTTCCATGAAATGATGAGGAAGGGGTGGGACTTCATGGAAAAGGGGTGGGGCTTGCATGTTGTGATGGGAAAGGGGTGGAGTTTTGTGGGGTGGGTGGGGCTTGGAAAGGGGGTGGAGCTTCCATGGGGATGGGGTGGAGCTTTGTGGGGTGGGCAGAGCTTCCTGGGGTGGGTGGGGCTTTTAAGGGGGGGGAGCTTCCATGGGGAGGGGGTGGAGCTTTCTGCAGGGGTGGGGCTTTATGGGGTGGGTGGGGCTTGGAAAGGGGGTGGAGCTTTCTACAGGGGCTGGGCATTGTGGGGTGGGTGGGGCTTGGGAAAGGGTGGAGCTTGTTGTGGCAGGCATTGTTTCCAAGGGGGCGGGGCTTGGGCAGGGCGTGGAACTTCCATGAAATGATTAGGAAGGGGTGGGGCTTCCCGGTGTGGGCGTGGCCACCCCAGGTGGGTGTGGTTTCCCGAGTGGGCGTGTCCTCCCCAGGCCCCACCGCACGAGGGCGGAGCTTTTGGCCACCCTGGAATTGGGGGCAGAGCCTGAGGTGCTGGTGAGTTTAGGGGCATGGCCTGTGGTGGGAGTGGCCTTTTCTGTGTGGGCATGGCTTATGCCGGGAGGGCGGAACCTCCCCTGACAGGCCCCGCCCCCTCAGAGCTCGATGCGACGCCTGTGCAGGAGCAGGGAGGGGGGAGGAGTTCCTGGAGCCCCGCCCACCAAGCAGGTAAGCCCCGCCCCTGCCTCCTGACCACGCCCCCTGCCTGTCAATCACTCGTCAATCAACGTCTGACCTGTCAATCATTCCAGGGATCCACAAGAGCTCCGCAACGATTGGCTGGAAAAGGCGGAGGTGGGCGGGGCTTGGGAAGGGTGGGCAGGGCCTCGGATTTGGGGGGGAATTTGGGTGGGATTTGGGGCTCATTTTTGGGTTAATTTTGGGTTGAATTTGAAGCTCATTTTTGGTTGAATTTGGGTTGGTTTTGGGGCTGATTTTTGCGTCAATTTGGGGCTGATTTTTGGGTGAATTTGGGTTGAATTTGGGGTTCATTTTTGTTTTATTTTGGGGCTCGATCTTGCGTAAATTTGGGTTGAATTTGAGGTTGTTTTTTGGGTGAATTTAAGTGGGTTTTGGGCTTCATTTTTGGGCAAATTTGGGGCTGATTTTTGGGTGAATTTGGGTTGAATTTGAGGTTCATTTTTGTTTGAATTCGGATCGGTTTGGGGGCTCATTTTTGGGTCAATTTAGGGCTGATTTTTGGGTAAATTTGGGTGGGATTTGGGGATTGTTTTTGGGTGAATTTGGGTTGAATTTGAGGTTCATTTTTGGGTGAATTTAAGTGGGTTTTGGGGTTCATTTTTGGGCGAATTTGGGGCTGATTTTTGTTTGAATTTGGGTCGGTTTGGGGGCTCATTTTGACTTAATTTCGGCTGGATTTGGGGCTGATTTTTGGTTGAATTTGGGTGGGATTTGTGGCTCGTTTTTGGGTTAAATCTGAGGCTGGTTTGTAGGTGAATTTGGGTTGGATTTTGGGCTCATTTTTGGCTGAATTTCATTTTAATTTTCATGGGCCTGATTTTTGAGTTAATTTTGGATGAATTTGGGGCTGGTTTTTGGGTGTATTTGGGTTGAATTTGGGCCTTATTTTTAGGTTCTTGTTGGGCTAATTAGGTTTGGGGTTTTGGGCTTGTTTTTGCGTTAATTTGGGTGGGATTTAGGAGTCATTTTTGGGTAAATTTTGATTTAATTTGGGGTCATTTTTAGGTTTTGTTTTGGGCTAGTTAGGTTTGAATTTGAAACCGATTTTTGGGTTAATTTTGGGCAAATTTGGGGCTGATTTTTGGGTGAATTTCACTGTAATTTGGTGCTCATTTTTAGCTTATTTTTGAGTGAACTACTTTTGAATTTGGGGCTGGTTTTTGAGTTAATTTTGGGTGAATTTGGGGCTGGTTTTGGGGCTCATCTTTGGGTGAATTTGGGCTGGATTTGGGGTGGAATTTGGGCTGATTTTTGGGTTAATTTGGGGTAAATTCGGACTGGATTTGCAGTGGAATTTGGGCTAATCTTTGGCTTAATTTTGGGTGAACTTGGGGCTCATTTTTGGGTTAATTGTGGATGAGTTTGGGGTTGATTTTTGGGTCAATTTGGGCTGAATTTGGGGCTCATTTTTGGGTGAATTTGGGCTGGATTTGGGGTGGAATTTGGGCTCGGTTTTGGGTTAATTTTGGGTGAATTTGGGGTGGAATTTGGGCTGACTTTTGGGTTAATTTGGGGTAAATTTGGGCTGGATTTGGGGTGGAATTTGGGCTCATTTTTGGGTTAATTTGGAGCGAATTTGGGTCAGCTTTGGGACTGTTCCCCGAGTGGGCGTGTCCTGCTGCTGGGTGGGCGTGTCCCCCCGTGGCCACGCCCCCCCGACGCTCAGCGCCCCCCGCAGGCTGAGCTGGGCCGGCACCACCCCGAGGAGGTTCTGTGGGCATTGGAGGTTCTGGCCAATGAGAGCGAGAGGTGGGCGTGGCCTTCCCTGGGGGCGTGTTCTGTGGGTGGGTGTGACCTGGAAGGGGCAGAGCTTGGGGGTGGTTGGTGACTGGGAATGGGAGTGAAGGGGTGGGGCCTAAGGGAGGGGGTGTGGCCAAGGGTTTAGGGGTGGGGCTTAACAGAAAGGGTGTGGCCAAGGGTTGGGGTGGGGCCTAAGGGAGGGGGTGTGGCCAAGGGCTTGGGGTGGGGCTTAACCGAAGGGGTGTGTCCAAGAATTGAGGG